AACTTCCTGACAGTGAGAACAATTAATCAGTGGAAACAACCTGCTTCCAGAAGCAGTAAATGCTCCAACACTGGAAGTTTTTAAGAAGAGACTGGATAGCCATTTGTCCGAAATGGTGTAGGGTTTCCTGCCTGAGCAGGGGGTTGGACTAGGTGACCTCCAAGGTCCCTTCCAACTTTACTATTATTATTATTATGGATCATCGCATAGTCAGCCAGATGTTCAGACTGGATTTGGCATTTTGTCTACCTATCGAGTCCTTACCCAGGACCTGGGATAGGCAGATGTGGATGTTTGATGGTATTACAGATATCGTCGCAGGATGGAAGCAGTTCCTAATAAGGCCGCCTTTTGCAATTGACTAATAGCGAATTTGTCAATGCCAATGGTGTTCAAGTGGTGCTCCAGTTGTTTTGGGATTGCACCCAAGGAGCCTATGACTATTGGTACTACCCTTGCTTGCTTTTGCCACAGTCTTTCTATTTCTATTTGTAGGTCTTTGTATTTTGTTATCTTCTCCAGTTCTTTCTCTTCTATTCTGCTATCTCCAGGCACTGCCACGTCCACTATCCAGACTTTTTTGTCTTTCTTATCGACAATTGTTAAGTCTGGGGTGTTATGTTGCAGGTGCTTGTCTGTTTGAATTCTGAAGTCCCAGAGCAGTTTAATTTTATCATTTTCTATGACTTTCTCTATTTTATGATCCCACCAGTTTTTGCTTACAGGCAAATGATATTTTTTGCAGATCTTCCAATGCACCATTGTTGCTACTTTGTCATGCCGCTGCTTGTAATCAGTCTGTGCAATCTTCTTGCAACAGCTTACCAAGTGGTCCACTGCTTCTTCAGCTTCTTTGCATAGGCGGCACTTACTGTCTGTTGCTGTCTTCTCAATTTTGACTTTGTATGCATTTGTCCTTAAGGCTTGGTCTTGTGCAGCCAGAATTAGTCCCTCGGTCTCTTTCTTCAATTTTCCTGCTCTTAGCCATTGCCAGGTTTTATTATTATCTGCTTTCCCAGCTATTTTTTTCATGTATTGGCCATGTAGTGCTTTGTCTTCCCATGCCTCTATTCTGTTCTTCATTTGGTCTTTCTTGTAGGCCAGTTTGGTCTCTCCAGTAGTTAGTAAGCCTTCCTGATATACTAATTTCACATTGTCATTATTTTTCTGGTCTGCCTATCCATTGCTTTTAGTTCTGCTTGAGTCCAGTCCACTATTCCAGCTGTGTACCTAATGACTGGGATTGCCCAGGTGTTGATTGCCTTTATGGTATTTCCTCCATTGAGTTTGGACTTTAAGATCTTCTTCACTCTCTTGATGTATTCACCTCTAATCTTTTTCTTGACTTCAGTGTGCTTGATGTTGTCAGCTTGAAGGATACCCAAGTATTTGTAGTACTCTTCCTCATCCAGACTCTTAATGTTATTTTCGTGGGGCATCTTGATTCCTTCAGTTTTCACTATTTTTCCTTGTTTGATAGTAAGTGTGGCACATTTGTCCAAGCCAAACTCCATTACAATATCTTGGCTATATATACGGACAGTGTTGAGCAGCGATTCTATTTCAGATGATGTTTTTCCATACAGCTTCAGATCATCCATATAAAGGAGGTGGGATAGTCTGGCAGATGTTTTTGATGTTTGATAGCCATGTCCTGAGTTATTCAGTATTGTTGACAGAGGAAACAGTGCAATAACAAATAGTAATGGTGATAATGAATCTCCTTGAAATATTCCTCTCTTGATATTAACCTCTCCCAGCTTCTCACCATTGATTTGCAACTGTGTCTTCCATTGTGCCATCGATCTTTGCACAAATTTTCTGATGTTTCTACTGACTCCTGTTATTTCTAGGCACTTTATTATCCAATCATGTGGCAGAGAGTCAAATGCCTTTTTGTAGTCAATCCATGCCACATTCAGGTTGGTCTTCCTTCTCTTGCAGTTTTCCAAGATCATTTTGTCTATTAGGAGTTGATCTTTTGTTCCTCTGCTATTGGGGCGGTTTCCTTTCTGCTCAGGTGGAAAGAGATTGTTTTCAACTAGATGCTGTTGTACTGCATCAGCTACCACACCAGTTAGTAATTTGAAAGTTGTTGGTAAGCAGGTAATTGGCCTGTAGTTACCTGGTGTTGCCCCTTTTGCTGGATTTTTCATTATTAGGTAGGTTTTCCCAGTTGTTAGCCACTTTTCAATTTCTCCTCCTTGTAGTATATTGTTGAACTGCTTGGCAATGAGTGGGTGTATAACAGTTAGATGTTTCAACCAAAACCCATGCAGTTCATCTTCACCTGGTGCTGACCAATTTTTGATTTTCTTTGCTCTTTTTTCTACCATTTTTGTTGTTATTACTAGTTCTTTCATTTCAACTTCTGTTTTATTTGCATCCACCTCTTTTAACCAAGCCGCATCCTTGTTGTATTTCTTTGGGTTATCCCATATCTGCTTCCAGAACTGTACTGTTTCTTCCTTGTCAGGTACTGACTGATTCCTTGCAGTTTCTCCATTGATGGATTGGTAGAAACGTTTCTGATTGGATTGAAATTGGAGGTTCTGCCTATAGTTTGCAATTCGAGCTTCATATCTACTGATTTTTCTGGCTATAGCTGTTATTTGTTGCTTTATTATTTCCAGTGCTTCCTTGATCTTCCTTGTTTCTAAGTGGTATTTCTTGATTAGGTGTTCTTTGGTCTTCGTGCATCCCAGGTATTCTGTTATAACTGCAGCTGTGCTGTACATTAGTTGGTTTGTTTCTTGCAGTGAATTGGTGCTTATACTTGATATTGAAATATTTGCATCTTTTAATGCTTGTGCTAGCTGTTTCTTTGGAACAAGCTTCAATGCAGATAGTCTTATTCTGTTGTTTTTGTGCTGTTCTAGATGCTCAGTTATTCTTTGTTTCAATTCTTTTATTTCTTTAGTTAGAGGGTTTTGTTCTTCCTGAGGTAGAGGTGCCTGGTTTCCAAATGAGAACAGTTGTATATCTCTGCTAGATTCCTTCACTGCCAACTCCCCCTGGTTTGCCTCTACATTCTGAATTACTTCTGGTAAGGCTTTGATTTCTTTGCCCTGGGTAAACCTTTGCAGTTCGTCCAATTCTGTTTCTGTGAATATTTTATTTGTGTTATAAATCGGCGTTGATCTGCTAGTCTCTGTTCTGTTATTTCTGATTCTGGATGTTGTTCTTTCCAGAACTGGTGCATTCGTTTTAGATATCCTCTTCTTGTTGGACTTGATCTGTAGTAACAGATCATTATTTCTTTGTTTTCCATCACTTGTGTATCTGCGACGGGTAAACACCTTTTCTTCCAGTAGTTCTGCAGCTGCTGGCCCTGGTTGCTCAGCCAACAGTCCTGAGTCCTGTAACTCATTTTTCACCAGATATCCAGGAACTCCAATATCTAGCACAGACCTTGTTAACCCGGGCGACATCCGAGCCGGTATGGCATTCTGCAATTTATGTCTCACCATATTTTTTATGGGAGAGACACTCTTTGTCTAACTCCTCTGATGAGACCTGTCCAGTATGGTTGAACCTCTGGCATAGCTCTCATCTTCCTCAGAGTACACAAGCCCCACAACCACGTCACGGTAGTGTCTCACTGGGGGTATTATTATTATTATTATTATTGGATCATCGCACAGTCAGCCAGATGTTCAGACTGGATTTGGCATTTTGTCTACCTATCGAGTCCTTACCCAGGACCTGGGATAGGCAGATGTGGATGTTTGATGGTATTACAGATATCGTCGCAGGATGGAAGCAGTTCCTAGTAAGGCCGCCTTTTGCAATTGACTAATAGCAAATTTGTCAATGCCAATGGTGTTCAAGTGGTGCTCCAGTTGTTTTGGGATTGCACCCAAGGAGCCTATGACTATTGGTACTACCCTTGCTTGCTTTTGCCACTGTCTTTCTATTTCTATTTGTAGGTCTTTGTATTTTGTTATCTTCTCCAGTTCTTTCTCTTCTATTCTGCTGTTCTCCAGGCACTGCCACGTCCACTATCCAGACTTTTTTGTCTTTCTTATCGACAATTGTTAAGTCTGGGGTGTTATGTTGCAGGTGCTTGTCTGTTTGAATTCTGAAGTCCCAGAGCAGTTTAATTTTATCATTTTCTATTACTTTCTCTATTTTATGATCCCACCAGTTTTTGCTTACAGGCAAATGATATTTTTTGCAGATCTTCCAATGCACCATTGTTGCTACTTTGTCATGCCGCTGCTTGTAATCAGTCTGTGCAATCTTCTTGCAACAGCTTACCAAGTGGTCCACTGTTTCTTCAGCTTCTTTGCATAGGCGGCACTTACTGTCTGTTGCTGTCTTCTCAATTTTGACTTTGTATGCATTTGTCCTTAAGGCTTGGTCTTGTGCAGCCAGAATTAGTCCCTCAGTCTCTTTCTTCAATTTTCCTGCTCTTAGCCATTGCCAGGTCTTGTTAATATCTGCTTTCCCAGCTATTTTTTAAATGTATTGGCCATGTAGTGCTTTGTCTTCCCATACCTCTATTCTGTTCTTCATTTGGTCTTTCTTGTAGGCCAGTTTGGTCTCTCCAGTAGTCAGTAAGCCTTCCTGATATACTAATTTCAGTGCATCTTCATCATTGTTCTTCAGATATTTAACCCGGGTGACATCCGAGCTGGTATGGCATTCTGAAATTTACGTCTCACCATATTTTTTATGGGAGAGACACTCTTTGTCTGACTCCTCTGATGAGACCTGTCCAGTATGGTTGATCCTCTGGTATAGCTCTCATCTTCCTCAGAGTACACAAGCCCCACAACCACGTCAAGGTAGTGCCTCCCTGGGGTTTTTTGTTGTTGTTGTTTTGTTGTTGTTGTTGTTATTATTATTATTATTATTATTATTATTATTTTCTACTGAATTAATGAAAACAAACCTGTATCATCAAAGTTCCTTTCCCACAAAACAGAGCAACAGAAAACACACTTAGAAAATAATTGGAGAACACATACAGAAGGATTAAGAAAATAAAGATTCTTACACAAAATCACCCAAAACTGCTGAAGAAGGGCGTTTTTTATAAGAAGTAGGACTTGTAAAATGGTAAGTGTGAGAAATAATGCCAGCCATTATGAAATCTCCAGATTTATAATACTTATGATAAATAGGAAGAGGCTCACTAACATTACATCTAAAGCTAGAAACTTTGCACACTGTCAGTGGAAATAACACCAATACAAACACCATCAATGTTATCATCTTCCATGGAACTTTTCTGGGTAAAAATGAATCAAACAGCAGTGATGAGACTCAGCAAGTCCTCTGTCCACTATTATTCAGCCTGATTGGTTGCTTACTATGCAAACTGAAGCCATGTCTGTTCAGTGCAAATTGTCTGCAATCCAACTGATAAAGAATCATAGATTTCCTACTTTAACTCTGATTGGCTGATAAACATACTTTGATATTGATTAGTTTTGACGTTATTTTTCCAATAGATTTTAAAGCTCCCCAAGGAACTGAAGAAAGAAATAATATTAATGTCATAATTACAGGAGGGAATTCTTATAATTATTATTCAGAGATACAGTTGCTTGAGGGTATGAAAAGGTGAATATGTTCCCTAAATTTGAACCCAACTTTGGTTCTTTTTTTTTTAAGGTGTCAAAGTTGCTGACGTTTTTAATGATATATAGAAATTTCTCTCTCTCTCTCTGTGTGTGTGTGCGTGTGTGTGTATGTATATGTGTGTGAATATGTGTGTGTGTGTATGTTTGCATATACTGTATAAATAAAGATTAAAACCAAGAACATTATACACTGTCTAAATCATCCAGTTTGTGAATTACAAATAGTCCTCAACTTGCAATTGAATTTGGGATCTGATTTCCAGATGTAAATTGTTATGGTCATAAGTCAAGGTACCCATGTGTCCAGATCTGTTTTTATGACTTAATTTTCAGGATCTCTTACATGAATGCATGGTTGTAAGTGTGAATCTATTCTTCTGAGTGATTTTTTTTTTAAGCAGAAACTAGCAAAGTCATTGCAAATCATAGTAATATGACTATGGGATGCTACAAATGGTTGTAAAGTGAGCTGGTTGCTAAGTGCCTGAAATGTGGTCATGTGACTGCATGTGTGTTGGTGTGTGGGGTCAAAACCTTCGTAATTTTGAATGGTTGTTAAGCATCAAGTTTTAAGTCAAGGACTACCTGTATTTGTATGTAATAGTGCCACAATCTATTCAATGTGTTCTTATTGAAAGCTGATCTCTCTCTCTCTCTCTCTCCCTCCCTCCCTCCCTCCCTCCCTCTCCCTCTCTCTCTTTCTCTCTGACATGTATGCATCAATATCAATAACACTTTTTCTGTCTGTATATTTATCATAGAACTGAGAGCTAAACCTTTAAAGAATTTGCTCATTTATCTAGGCCAGGGTAGGCAACCTCGGCTCTTTTATGACTCATGGACTTCAACTCCCAGAATTCCTGGGAGTATAGCTGACTCAGGAATTCTGGGAGTTGAAGTCCATGAGTCATAAAAGAGCCGATGTTGCCTACCCCTGGTCTAGGATATCAGAAGTTTCTAGATAAATCCAGAATGACAGAGGCTTCTAGATAATTATAAAATAAACTCAATATGAAGTAAACTACCAAAATATTCATAATTAACCATCACTACTGCAATCAACTCCAATCTGTTCCAGGTAGTCTACCCTTTTCAAAGACAAGATCTGTTTCAAAAACAGTTACAGGAAGAGAGTCTAGTTTTTATTCTGCAGTGCAACTACTGGGACAAGTAGGGATAGATATACTCAGGGATCAAAACTGAAATATGTACATAGTCATCCAATTCATATCATCATGATTCTGAATGACCTACATCAACAAAAACAAAAGATAAAAAAATTACAGTTAATATGTTTGAAATCAACAGGAAGAAGCCAAAATCAACATAATAAAAGTGTACAGATTCATCCATCATTTTGGCCCAATGTCTGTAGGAAAACTAGGTCCATATAAAAGAAAAAAAAACAATCATTTATAAATATCTAGTATACTCAGCAAAATTAAATATGGTGGCATATGGTCATGAGAAAAAAAAACCTAGTTGAGTTAGAATTATAGATTTCTCACTTGTTTACTTTTACCAGGTGTCTCTTGCTGTTCAGCTCAGGCCTCAACACAATAATATAACATTTTGGAGAAAAGATAAAGCCCAAGCACCCAGCACTGGAAGCTAAGATAGAGAAGATTTCCACAGCTACCATGTATTTTCCCTTGGAGCTCAGATAGGTTGGAACAAAGGTCAGCCAAACAGTGCAAAACACAAGCATGCTGAATGTGATAAACTTGGCTTCATTAAAACTGTTTGGTAATTTCCTAGTTAAAAATGCCACAATGAAGCTGAGAGTGGCTAGGAAACCCATAAAGCCCAGGATGCAATAGAACATGACGGGAGAACCTTCATTACATTGTAGTATAATTTCTTCAGTCACTGAATGCAAATCAAAATCAGGGAAAGGAGGGGAGGTGGCCAGCCACACAATACAAATCAGGGCTTGAATAAAGGAACAAGAAAATATAATGGAGTTAGAGAATCTTTTCCCCACCCATTTTCTCATTCGAGATCCAGGTTTGGTAGCCATGAAAGCAAAAAGCACTATGATGGTTTTGGCCAATATGCAAGAAACGGCTATGGTGAAAATCATGCCAAAGGAAGTTTGCCGAAGGAGGCACTTCCACTGTTCAGGCTTGCCAAGGAACAGCAAAGAACAAAGGAAAGAGAACAGGAGAGAGATCAGTAGAATATAGCTGAGACTTCGGTTGTTGGCTTTGACGATGGGTGTTTCTTTGTGTTTCATGAAGATTCCAAGCACCAAAGCTGTGAAGAGAGAAAAGCAGAAAGCAAGCATCGCCAGAATGATCCCCAAAGGTTCTGTATAAGATAGAAAAGTTATTTGTTTTGGAAGGCATCCATCCTTGAATCTGTTTGGGTATTGATCCTCAGGGCATTCAAAACAATCCTCTATATCTGAAAAAGAAAATGATACATTATACTTTTTCAGTACAGCACTAGCAATAGCACTTAGACTTGTATACCACTCCATAGTGCTTTGCAGCACTCTCTCAGTGGTTTACAATGTCAGCATATTGACCCCTAACAATCTGGGTCCTCATTTTCTGATCTTAGAAGGAAGGAAGGATGGAAAGCTGAGTCAGCCTTGAGTCGGTCAGGATTGGCTGTGGGCAGTTAAACCGCAATATTGCATTCTGACCACTGCATCAGTTGTAATCCAAAGCTGAATCACTTTCCTTAAATAAAAGGAAAGTTTAAAGAAAAAAAAATGGAAAGTACCATTTCTTAAATGAAATAATAGATCAAGAGTTATAGTTATCCTGATTATCTCTTTTTATACTGAAATACTTTCCAGTTACCTCCTAAATCTAGCTACCTTTTCACAGAGATACAGAAAATGAAGAAAAAAGTATAAAACCAAAGCCACTTATGTTACTTATATGTTTATTAATGATCTCTTTATTAGTGGATTTTCTTGTTCACCAAATTCTTTGTAAAAAGTAAAAATGTATTAAAACAAGAAAATATTTTACAATCATGGTTCCAATACTTACAAATTGTGGATAGGTGGACTGTAGATAAGAAAGTTGGAATAACATTAGGAGATGAAAATTTGGTAATTCAGATTAAAGATCAGAAACAAGCTCATATTAAAAGAATTTATAATGAGTTAATAAAATTGGATTCGGAAACAGATTTGGTAAAAGATTGCATGATTAAATGGGCTCAGAATATCCAGGAACCGATTTTATTGGATTTATGGGAGACTATTTGGATTAGAAATGTTAAATTTACACAGGCTCAAAATTTGAGGGAAAATTTTTATAAAATGTTTTATAGGTGGCATTTGGATCCTAAAAAACTGTCTTGTATGTATCCTAACTTACAGCCCAAATGTTGGAGGTGTGGTGGTACTGATGCAACTTATTTTCATGTTTGGTGGACTTATAAAAATATTAAGGCTTTTTGGATTATGATTTGGTGGAACATTCAAAATATTTTTAAAAGGAAGATAAAGTTTACTCCTCAACTATTTTTATTAGGGATTTTTGAGGATTTTGATGTCAAAGAAACTATTTTAATGTTGAATTTAATTACAGCAGCAAGGTTATTGATAGGTCAATATTGGAAGAAAGATTCGTTGCCTACAATAGAAGAATAGATATTAAAGGTTTCTAATTTAGCAGAAATGGCTAAAATTTCTGCTTATTTAAAGAATCATACACAAGAAAGATATATTATGGTATGGAGAAGATGGATAGATTATATTCAGATTAAATATGGAACTAAAAAGTTTCATTTATTTTATGATTAAATTTTAATATAATAAGAATTATTAATTGTATTTTATAATTGGAATTATTTAGTTTATTCATTGTTATTATGGTTTTTTATAATAATTGTTTAAAATGGATTTGTTTATAATATTTTATTAAGGTTTAAAGGGAGTTAAGGGTTAAGTATGAATTTAGTTGTTGTATAAACTGTAAATTTAATTAGATTAAGTTTAATTTATTTGTTGAATTTAATTAGATTGTGTTTAATATGTTTGTTATAACCCTGTACTCGGCTCTGGGAAGTGGGGGGGGGCAGGAGGGTGGGGATGGGTGGGTTAGGGTGTTTATTTTGTATTGTTTATAAAACTTTTAATACAAAAAAAGTAAAAATGCTACAAAATGAATGTTAACTATTTTTTTTTAAAAAAACAAAACATTAAAATATGGCAAGAACAATGATACTAAAGGAGATTCTAGCTCACTGGAAGCAGGCATTTTTTCTGATTTAGAAAAGTTGAGGATGAGCAAATTAAGGGGGAAATACTGCAGGGAGGCATGCAGGATTAGAGGAAAAGTGAAGTGAAGAGAAGGGCAGAGAGGAGAGGAGAGAAGAGAAGGGAGGGGTGGGGAGGGGAAGGGAAGGAAAAGGAAGAGAAGAGTTATATCTTCGGTTCTTTAGGCATTGAACGAGGCAGAGTGTTGAAACAGCAAACAAGTTTATTAACTCAGAACAGAAGCAGCCCTAAGGTTGCTGCACAGCTACTTATACAGTTAGCCCAGTGATTCTCAACCTGTGGGTCGGGACCCCATT